GCTTACTCTGAGCTCGAGGACTCGGAGGTGGAAAAGGGAGTCCTGGACTCCTGCCGCGCGGACTACGAGCAGTTCCTCGCGCTAACGGACGACCTGATCGGAGCGGGGGCCAAGGACGCGGAGAGGGAGCGCGAAGCTCGGCTGAGTAGCCTTCTCGAGTCCCCGCGGAAGCCGCCTACTCAGCCAGAGCTGCTAGGACGACTCCCCACGCTGGACCTGCCGAGGTTCTCCGGGGTCCTCTCGGAGTGGCTGACCTTCTTCGGCATGTTTGACAGCCTGGTGGACGCCCGGAGGGACCTGACCCCCTGCCAAAAAATGGGGTACCTCCTGGCATCACTGGAGGGGGAGGCCCGGGGCGTCGTCGGCCACCTTAAGTTGTCGGACGACGCCTACCAAAACGCCAGGGACCTCCTCGCTGGAAGGTACGCCAACGTCCGGCGGATTGCGGACGATCATGTTCGGAGGCTGCTGAACCTCCCGCTGCTGTAGGACCGGACTAGACTACGTGAAGACATAGTGAATCCAGTCGTCGTAGCGTGCAACTCGTTGCGGCGGCTGGATTTACCTGTGGACGAGTGGTCTTTTCTGCTCCTTCATATAGTGCTGTCCCGCCTGCCCCTAGACCTTCGGCTCCGTTTTGAGGAGAGGTACGGAGGGGATGGCGCTTCGTACATGCCCCCCTTTAGGGACCTGCTGCGGTTCCTGGAGGAGCAGTGTAGGCAGCTGGAGAACGCAGCAGGCGCCGTCGAGGGCCCCCGGCCGCCTCCCGAGCGGTGCCCAGGGAGAGGCGGAATCAGCCGGCCAAGACGGCGCCCACCCCCCTGAGGCCGAGCGGAGCCCCCGCGGGAGGGCGCCCCCCAGTACCCTCCTATAGTGGCCTAGCGACCTGGGAGGCGCCTCCCTGCTCCTATTGTCGAGCATCCGACCACCGGGCGGCGTCGTGCCCGAAGTTGTTGCGCAAGCCGACTACGGCGAGGCGAACCATCGCCAGGGAGCGCCGCTGGTGCTTCTCGTGCCTGGAGAGGCATTTACAACGAGACTGCCCGCACCAGCGGCCCTGCACGCACTGCCAGGGTAACCACCACGTCATATTGTGCCTGGGTGCGCGCGGCTCGTCCTCTCAAGGCCCTGACAGCCCCCCGACTCCCACGGGCGGGGGCGCCCAGCCACGCCCACTGTCGGGCAACGCCCGGCGCTCACCGGTGGAGAACAGCGCCCCTCGTTCTGAGGGAAGTCCCTCCCCCGATCGGTCTGGGAGTCGTTCCCCCAGGGGCGGGGGGGTCTTCACCCCCCTCAGCGAGTTGATAGTGGATTCGCAGCCACTCAGCGGTCAGCTAGACCGTTCTCACCCCCGTTGGCTGAGTGGCCGCGACTGGAACGCCGCCCGCCCCCTTTGGTCGGTGCCGGTACTACCGGGTTCCGGAGACTGCTTATCTGCCCCGGAACTTGGAGCCGAGGATCCCCGAGTTTCCCCAGGTCGGCCCGTTCGGGGAATTCCAGTCAAGGGTCATCGAGACGCCGTCGGAGTGCCGCGCTCGGGGGCCCCGGTTCGGGTGCCGGTCCAACAGAGGCAGCTCCAGATAGGAGGCTGCCGCCCTAGCTCCCGCCATGGCCGCCTCCACTGAGCCTATAAGTCGTCACCAGTCCACCTGTCAAACTGTTCTATTGCCGACGGCCTCAGTGAAGGTTTACAACCCGAGCGGCGACCGCTTAACGGTTCGAGCTCTATTGGATTCGGTTTCCCAACGTAGTGTGGCCTCTACTCGGTTGGTGGGAAGACTGGGGCTCCCCTGGAGCTCTGAATCACGTCCGATGGTAGGTATCGGAGGTGCCGAGCCTCCTGCTCCTAGGGGACAAGCGGAGTTGGTGTTCAGCCCTGACAGCGAACACCTTCGTATTTTAGTCAAGGTAAATGTCCTCGACGACATTGTAGGGTTCCTCCCTAACGTTCGTATAAATGACAGCGCTGTACGCTGTGCGTCGGCTTTGAGACCGGCAGACCCTCGGTGGGCCCAACCTGGGCCTATAGATTTGTTACTGGGGGCCGACACGCTGTGTGTCCTCTTGTTAGGTGAGATACGAGCTCTGCAGCCCGATGGCCTGTCAGCCATTTCCACAATATTTGGGCACAGCTATTTCGGACCGGTTATGTGGTCTCCTCCCCCTCCGACGGCCGACCCGCTCTCCGTCGTGGGCGAGTCTCTATCGGACGCCGTCCAGCGGTTCTGGGAAATTGAGGAACCACCACATGCAGCTCGAGTCGACCCTCTGGACCGTGAGTGTGAGTTGTTCTACCAGAACAATACCGGCCGGTGGGTTGACGGTCGTTTCGTCACTCGCTTACCCTTTCTGGACTCACGCCCCTCTTTGGGTCAATCTCGTGCTCTGGCCGAGAAGAGGTTGCTTTCCATGGAGCGCCGCATGCGGCGCGACGCAGCCTTTCGCGACAAATATGTCGAGTTCATGCGCGAGTATCAGGCGCTGGGTCACATGTCACCGTCCAACTTCGAATGGCGTTCACAGGAGCACTACTTCCTCCCTCACCATGCGGTCTTAAGGACCCCTGAGAGTAAGATTCGGGTAGTTTTTGACGGTTCCGCCCCCACATCAAACGGTGTGTCTCTGAACCAGTGTCTTCACTCGGGTCCTAAACTGATCAAGGACATATCCGACATCTTGACCCAATTCCGTCGACACCAAGTGGTTTTTGTCGCGGACATTCGGATGATGTTTCGCCAATCAGTGGTTCATCGTGATGACCGCCGATATCAGCTGATATTGTGGCGCGAGAAGCCCAGCGATCCTATACAGGTATTTGAGCTGAACACCACCACATATGGACTCCGGTCCAGCCCGTATATCGCCATGCGAACCCTCCTTGAACTCGCGGAGAGAGAGCGTATCTCAATACGCTCGGGGAGCTTCTATTTTGGAGACTTCGGTCTACATGGACGACATTTGTACGGGCGCTTCCACCGTCGAGGAGGCTCTGGTCTTGCGAGACGAATTAATTGCCAGCCTGAAGTCTGGAGGCTATGAGTTGCGCAAGTGGTTGTCGAACTCTCCTCATATTTTGAAGGACCTCCCAGGAGAGGATCAGCAAGACCCTCATCTGTTCGAGCACCCTGAGAATCCTAATTTATTGACTGTGCTGGGCACTCAATATCAGCCTGTTCAGGATACCTTTACGTATAGAGTAAAACTTGACCCACCGCCCAAAGCATGGACCAAACGCTTCGTGCTGTCTACCGTAGCCCGCACCTTCGACCCTAATGGGTGGATCACCCCGGTCATCTTTTTAGCTAAGTGCTTTCTTCAAAAGCTCTGGATGTCCGGGTTGGGTTGGGACGAGACGATTGGCGGAGCCCTCTTGCGAGAGTGGCTCTCCATGCTCTCCTCCCTTCCAGATATCAACCGGGTTTCCATGCCAAGGTGCTTCCTTCCCCCCGGGAAATGTCGGGCTACCCTACATGGGTTTTGCGACGCCTCTGAGAAGGGCTATGCTGCTGTCGTATATTTGCGGACGGTGAGTTCCTCAGGTCATACTGCCGCCCATCTCGTACTCGCTAAAAGCAAGGTTGTTCCCATTAGGTCCCGCTTAACTATCCCTAAATTGGAACTGTCCGGTGCCGCTCTCCTCACGCGACTCCTCAACCACGTTCACTCTTCCTTGAAGCCTGTAATCGACATTACGGGCGTCTACGCATGGTCGGACAGTGAGATCGTACTTTGTTGGCTCCGAGCTGCACCTCACAATCTCGAGGTCTTTGTGGCGAACCGCGTTTCTCAAATCCAGAGTTCTGAGACTTCTCTCAACTGGCGACATGTCCCAGGGGAGTTGAATCCCGCGGACTGCACTTCTCGCGGCTGTGAGGCCCCATCGCTGGTTGACCACCCACTGTGGTGGGGTCCCGATTGGTTATCTGGGTCTCAGTCATTCTGGCCCCGGGGCAATTACTCCGAACCTACCGAATTGCCGGGCCTACGAGCCCGAGTCGGAGTGGGCAAGGATAAGCCCACTCGGGATCTCTCTCTTCTGGAACGGTATAGCTCCCTCGATAAGCTCTTGGGAGTTACTGCTTGGTTGCGCCGCTTTGTCCGCAATTCGAGATACCCATCCCACCGACTCTCTGATAGCGTTTTGTCCCCTAGCGAGCGCCGGGAAGCTTTGATGCACTGGAGCCGTATGGTCCAAACGGAGCAATTTGAGCCCGTCATTGAAAACTTGAAGCGTGGCTCCGTTATCAAGAGCGCCCTGGCCCGCCTGAACCTCTTCCTGGATAACGCGGGGATGCTGCGCGTTGGCGGACATTTGAAAAATTCTCAACTGCCGTACGGGGCTCGACACCCGTTGCTGCTCCCGAAGGACGGCGCCCTGGTCCGATTGCTGGTAGCCCACCACCATGTTAACCCTTAGATTGGCAAACACAAAAAGATGATTTTGACTGAAAAAACTATTTATTTGTAATATATTAGTAACAAAAGCATCTTAAAAAATAATAGAAAAAATATTTTTTGTTTATTTATTGGAAAATCATATGTGCTCTAGAGGGCACTTCGCTATGTCTCCAGAAAATTAAATCGGCATTTTCCTGTCCCCTGTAGAGCACATTGCCGACTAATTAGCAATAAATTTTTTGATTTATATTTTTAAATTTTCGTAAAAATATACTACTAAACCTGTGGAATTAACAGTGCTGAGATTTTTTATTGATGTAAGATAAAACATCATAAATCTTATAAAAATATACTTCACAAAATTATTAAATCCTCCTTACTTATATCATTATTTTAATCTGAGATCAAACGCCATAAAGGATATAAAAATACAACAAAAAATAAATATTCTGCTTACAAAAATGCTTACATATGAAAGTACACACTTTTGAGATCAATAATCAAGTAAAGGTTCTAAATTTTTTATAAGCTAAGTAAATTATCAGCTAAGTATATTTTCTAATTTAACTGAAGGGCTAAAGAGTAATAAAAATATTTTATTGCTATGTTTCTTGTTCTTTTTGATGAAAAGTATAAAAACAATTGCGATTTTGTTGAATACATAGACGCATGTTATATTTTATGCACAAGAAAGTAGTTTTTCCTTTCACACAAAGTCTACAACGGCCTTTTGTTGTGATTTTAGGAAAGTGCTCTTTACCGTCATATCGACTTTCTGCTTCTGGTCGAGTTGCGATAGGCCTGCTAATTATGCGGCGTTGGTTTACTCGATTCGGAGGCTCGACATTTTCAGCCAGTGCTTTTGGAATATATGAACTCATTTCTTGTGCCACTTTAAAACGGAATGCTTTCAAAGCAATATGATCGTCGACGCCAGTCTTGAGGCCACATTCCCTTCTGTACAAAAGCCATGCATTATTTATAGCCACGTCCAACAGCTGAGAAAAAATAGGCATATACCATTTATTTGTTTTGTAGATGGTCCGGTAAATAGCCACTAACATATCGGCTAAGTCTACACCGCCCATATGCTTGTTGTATTCTTTTACGATGTTTGGGCAAGGAATCTCTCGATATTCTTTTTTATCCTTGAAATATCGTTTGCATACACCCATTGGTTCAACGCCGGTGTAGTTACTACCTAGCAAAACTCCTTTATTATCAAACCATTTCACTAAAACTATTTTTTTTTCCTCACAAACTTTCATATCCACCGATCCTCGAGGCATCTTCTTCATTTCTTTGTCATCCTTCAGAATACATCCTCTCGTTCTATTTTGTTGAAATGTGCCAATCGACAAGATACCCAGTTCGTTTCGTAGATGGTGCATTAACTCGACGCTTGAAAAATAGTTATCAAAGCATACCACAGTTAGTACGGGATCTCTTATCGTGCGACATAAAGAAAGGACAACTTTGGCACCCAATCCCAAGGTATTTTCATAATTACTAAAATCCCTTCCCGAAAAAGTATACTGTCCACCATATAGAATTGCGTCATACACTATACCAGAGACTCCTGCTCTAACAAACATTTTGTACCCCCACTTTTTAGGCTTAGTTTTTATGTATTGTTTTAATTCACCTGACTTCTTCCCTTTATACGGTACCATCATCTCATCAATGGACATTCTACTTTCTTCTTCAATCTTTCTGCAGTTGGATATAACTTTATCAAACAGAGGGCGAATTTTGTAATAACGGTCATTGCTCTCATTTTCAACTTCACTGTCATTGAAATGGAGATAACGTCTTATTAACTGATATTTTTTGAGGGACATCACATTTATAACACAATCTACTTTAAAATCCTTAGACCAATAATCAACATACGCGGGTAACTGGATAATACCCATAAATATCTCAACACTAAAAAAATCGCTACGTTGAATGTAAGAGGAGGAATGGATGGTAAGGTAGATGAAGTATGTCAGATGATGGATGAACGTTGCATTGATATTCTGTGCGTGAACGAAACCAAGAGGAAAGGATGTGACACCACGGTTCATGGCCCCTACACGGCATACTGGTCGGGAGTCCCCCAAACCAGCCGAGGCTGTCAGGGAGTTGGTGTGATTCTTTCATCTCGAATGGTTGAATGTGTGATGGAGCATGAATGTATAAGCCCAAGACTCCTCTGGATTAGGTTAAAAGTCGGACTCACTCGCTTGTTTATCCTTGGGGTCTATGCACCAACGGATCTGCGTGGAGGTGGGTCCTTAAAAACACAACAAGAGAGAGAGGAATTTTGGGATAGCATGAGAGAGGTCTTGAATAAATGCGGAGAAAATGAACGGATCGTGATGTTAGGGGACTTTAATGGATGGGTTGGAGTAAATCGTGATGGGTATGAAGGAGTTCTGGGTACGTTTGGGGACGAGAGAGTGAATGACAATGGGAGAAGCCTGCTTGAAGTATGCTTGGAATGGAATCTGTGCGTGGCCAACACAATGTTTGACCACAAAAAGATCCATTTGTATACAAGAGATGAGGGTGAGTCTAGAAGTATGATTGATTTTGTAATTGTGGATGAAAGACTGAGGAAGAAAGTGCTAGACACTCGGGCATACCGCGGTGTAGGCCTCGACACAGACCACTTTCTGGTCATAGCCCGAATGCGTGGCCTCTTTAAACGGTGGCGACACCGAGCGGCCGAGCCTACGAGTGTTTTGGACAGAGTAAAAGTGGAAAATCTACAAGAAGAAGAAAAGAAAGACGAGTATGTAGAGAAACTAAAAGAAAGTTTTAAAGGGATAGAAGAGATAGGAGTGATTGAAGATTTGTGGGAGACATTTAAGAAAGGGGTCGTAAATGTTGCTATTGAGGTATGCGGGGTAGCTAAAAGAAGGAAAGGAAGAAAGAATGATAACGTGTGGATGGATAAAGATGTACAAAAGGTTGTGCAAGAAAAGAAGAAAGCGTGGTTGGATTGGTTAGCAACAAAAGCTAACCAAAAAGTTCAAAAGGCAACGGATGACGAGATAAAGGAAGCAAGAACGAAGTATAAAAGATTGAAAACAGCAGCGAAAGAAATTGTGTCTAGAAAGAAAGAAGAACGAAAGGATGATTTCGATAGGAGGCTCACTGAAGATTTCCAGTCAAACATTAAGTTTTTCTGGAAAACCATCAAAACAGCCAGAGGAAAAACTTCTACCTCTGAGCTGAGTACAATCAGGAGTCAAGATGGGAGCATTATAAAAGGAGAAGAATGTGTGTTAAAGAGATGGAAAGAGTATTTTGAAAGTTTGTTTGAAAGAGAGGAAGTGCAGGTACAGCATCTGCCACCTTCCACGGAAACTAATATAAGTGTTGATGAAAATGAGATAAGCATGGATGAAATAGTGAAAGCGTTGAAAAGTATGAGATTAGGTAAGGCTGCAGGGTATGACAGGATTACCGTCGAGATGCTGAGGGCTGGACAGGGCCTGGTGGCTAGTCAGCTGTACCGCCTTTTCAATCTGTGCTGGCGAAATGGGCAAGTACCGGGAGACTGGTGCAAAGCCGTAATCGTGCCATTGTATAAGGGAAAAGGGTCACGGCAGGACTGCATAAATTACCGCGGTATAAGCCTTCTCAGCGTCGTCGGTAAATTGTATGCGAAAGTGTTGATTGAAAGGATTGTGAATGAAACAGACAAGAAAGTATGGGATGCACAAGCGGGATTTAGAAAGGGAATGGGATGTACGGATCAGGTCTTTTCCTTGCGGTGCATAGCCGAAAAGTATTTGGCTAAAAACAAGAAAGTCTACTGCGCGTTCGTAGATCTAGAAAAGGCCTATGATAGAGTGGTGAGGAATGAATTGTGGTCAGCACTGTCCGTGAACGGTGTGAGCAGTATCCTCATACGAGCAATGCAATCTCCTTATAGGGATTCTAGTGCTTGTGTAAGGATAAACGGGGCATACACTGAATGGTTTAATATCGAAAAAGGTGTCAGACAGGGATGTGTAGCGTCACCGTGGCTGTTTAATCTGTTCATGGACAATTGTTTGACAGATTTAAAAGAGAATGAAAGTGGGTTGAGAATGAATGAGTTACTCGTCAAATGTTTTCTCTATGCTGATGACCAAGTATTACTTGCGTCTTCGGCCGAGGAGTTGCAGGAGATGGTAACTGCTATGAGTGGAGCTTTTGTTAGAAAGGGAATGAAGATGAATGTAAGGAAGACGAAAGTGATGGTGTTTGAAAAAGATGAGGCAGTGACAGACTGCAATATCGTGATTGAAGATGACCAAATTGAACAGGTGAAAGAGTTTGTGTATCTGGGTTCAAAGTTTACAAGAGATGGAAAGTGTGAGAGTGATATCAAAAGAAGAGTGAATGCAGGAAACATGGTGAATGGAGCTTTGCACTCCTTTATGAGCAGTCGGAAGGTGTCTAACAAGGCTCGTTTGGCTGTGCATGAGGGGGTGTTGGTTCCGACACTCATGTACGGAAGTGAAACTTGGGTATGGCAGAAGAAACATGAAAGCAGAATAAATGCAGTTGAGATGAGAGCATTAAGAAGTATGATAGGAGTTAAACTGAGTGACAGGCTAAGAAATAGTGAGGTAAGGAAACGTTGTGGTCTGAAAGAAGATGTAGTGACAAAAATTGAGAAAGGTATGCTGAGATGGTTTGGCCATGTCGAGAGAATGAATGAAGAACGATTGACGAAAAAAGTGTATAAGGCGAGTGTGAATGAAAGTGTTGGAAGGGGTAGACCTAGGCGGACATTTCTAGACCAAATCAGGGACGTCTTGAAAAAAGGCCAGGTCAAGAGTACCCTAAACCGTAGAGCATGTATGAAGGGAATAATGAAAGTGGACGAAGCAAAACAAGTATGTAAGGATCGTAGCAAGTGGAAAGAACTGGTCTCTGCCTACCCCTACGGGAAAGAGGCGTGATTATATGTATGTATGTATGTACTAAAAAAATCCTTGATATCTTGTGTACTCAACGTTAATTCTTTGGAATCTTTTTGGTACGCATACAAAATTGTTTGATCTCTTATGTACTGTATTAAATCTTCGTCAATAAATTTATAAAAATATTCTAAAGGGCTGCCAACTTCATTAGGAGTTGTAAACTGGTTTTTCTTTAAGTTTTGTACTCCATAAGCAAATTCTTTTCCTACCCATTCACAAAGACCAATAGCTTTACTTGTTTTATTAGTTGTAAGTTTATCTGTTAATGAGGTTGATTTAGTCCTATTAGTGTATTCTTTTTTGTTATGGATCCGTAAAATCGTTTTAGTTTTTGATTTATATAAATTTTGGTCTGTTTTTGCTTTATTGCTACTTTTACTATTTGTATTAGTTGTTGTGGGTTTGGTTTGTGAATGATGGTAGCAGGAATCTTTAGATGAAGCTTGTATATATAATTTCGGACTATTTTGAGTTTGCGTTTGAGAAATCAAAGATTTCTGACGAAGAGACCTTCGTTTAGGCGTAATTTCCGCAAGTTCAGCAGATTTTTTAATTCTTTTATTTGAAGTAAACGTCTTAGCTACTAGTTTTTGCTTACGAGTCGATTTCGCTACATCTTCTATCTCACAGTCACTGTTCAAATAGAAATCATCCAGAAAGTTAGGACAAGGGCTTGATAATATCTCATCAGTTTTTTCTTTGTTTTACGTGTAAGGTGACTCAATGATACCGATTTCAGATAGCATATTTCGATCCATTATAGATGGGGTCTCATAACAGGATGACACTGATGGTAAATTCTGATTGGAATCGGTAACATTGACAAGGGATTGTTCCGAAACACTGGGTATTTGCGGCAAATAAGGATCATAACTATATGGATATTCAACAGAATTCAAACATTGGACAGCAGAGGTTTGATGAACCGTAGCTTGACTGGATCTAACATAGTTTAGACTCAAAGAAGGAACTATCATAGCTTTTGGGGATACTGAAATCTCATCTTCACTTTCAGTTTCACTAACAGTTTTACTGTTATATATGTTTGTAGTGACGAATTTCTGAGCATCATCTGAATCAGAAGTTTCTTCGCTAGCTTTATCAGGTAGAACGAAAGACATTATGCGCTGAAAATATAAAAAAAAGTACTTAGTTTGGAAATAGTATTACGCTGACGTCGGTCTCGTACTGTCAGCAATCGACAGCGTTCGATTGGAAATAATGTTGTTCTGACTTCGGTCGCTGATCAGTTTTACAAAGAATTGTGCACAAAAAACTATAGCATATATGTACGTCTAAACTATTGCTAATATATATATATATATATATATATATGTGTGTGACTGACGTCAGTGTAACACTATTTCCAGCTTTATGACCATCTCAAAACAAAAAAAAAAGCTGGAGGAATGTAAAAGCATGGGCAATATCGGTGAAAAAGTATTATTAAAGTAACCTACAAAAGACACAAGAGAAGTACTATTAACTGGGTAAGTGCCCTGTAAGGCACATAAACACTTTTCTGTTAAGTGAACGTGTGCACTGTAAGGCACAACATACAATTTCAGGTAACCTAATAAGGTGCCCTACAAGGCACAACTGAATTTCGACGCAATAAAAATTACCTTATAAATAATTATAATTTATGCAAATACTACATATGAGAAGTTTTATGTTCCTACTATAAATTTCAAATTGAAAAACAATGAAGTTAATAGATCTACTAGGATATTTTTATTATTATTTACCTCAATGCGCCGGCGACTACTCGACCCTCCTGACCTTTTGTTTCGCAATGACAGCAAACGTTACTTTTGACACATTGAAATTTTTTTTCTGTATATTTTTGAAGTAAGCTAAATCATAAGTAATGAAAGTTTTTTAAAACTGAAAATAATTATAACAAAACATTTTATTAAAATTCCCGTGATCTCCAGGGCACATGCCAA